CAAACTATTATGATACTTTAATTATGATTATCGCATTTGTCTAAACAATTAATAGCTTAAAGGTTTGGTGCTATGAAATTGAAATTAGATTCATAAGAGATAATGAATAAGTAGTTATCTAATGAATAGTAGATTTACATTTATAAATCATTGTATGAAAATATATAAGCATTCATTAGTAGTGCTCTTATTCTGTTTAAAAATGGACACTAAATGTATATTAAAACTAATGACGGATTAAATATAGAGAAAATTATTAATATAGAAAATCTTCTTTCAAGAATGCTAATACAGTGTAAGATATTTGTATTAAAATTGTAATATAAAAAGCGATATTATATATAAAAAAATATAATTAATCAAATTAAGTCTTACCTTAATGTTTTAGTAAAGTATTTGACAGTTGTACGCGATTTTTTGGATATATTTTTGAATGTATATTCCGACTGAACCTAACATTACATTTAATTATATATTCATTAATCAATGCGATTACTGGTATATGACATACGAGTCCGCATCCAATTAGACTAATTAGTCCCGAAAAGTGCACGATTTCGGCGCATATGAAACCCATGTAAGCCATAGTCACCACAATCAACGGCTCTATCACTTAAGAAATGCAAATTCATTACAAATTAACATCAAATTCTTGACATATTTATCTGTAAACAACGTTTTAGCGTATAATTAGTTATATTTTATGACATTTATTGGAGAGACAAATATTTAACAATTTGTGTTTGTAATTAAATCATAATTTAAATTTCTTTTTTTACTAAAAATGTCATTTATGTTTGAGATTATGAATAAATGGAGCTATTTTTGGATATAAAATAATGTAATTTTATACTAAAATTACTTATAATTTTGCATTTTATATTTTTAAGTAAGTTCTCGACAAAAAGATTATTAATTTATTACAAAACAAAATAATAAATTTTAAATTGCGTAAAGAAGTCTCTAAAATATAATAGAGTGTTAATAACCTTTAGCATTTTAAAATTTTTAGATTTAACTATAATTTTGAATTTAAAATCTGTTATTATTTAATGTTATATATAATTTTAGATGTTAATTAATAAATGTTATCTGTTATGAAACTCTCAATGCATCGAAATATATTATGTGATACAGTATTGCAGATACACTTCAATTATAATAAAATAATTATTTAATGGATATTATAAAGTTTTCGCAACACGTAAATTGTAGCTATGTCCGTTTTTACATTAATTAAATAAAAGTAATTTATTATAAATAAATTATTTTTAAGTAATTTTAAGATTATAAATTCAACAAAGTCTTAATAGTATTAAATCAAGTTTATATTATGATTTGTCTATATAGTGTAAAATAAACATAACTTTATATGTAATACCTCTGACATGAGTTGTTTTGAGTGTTATTAATGATGTGAAGACACCAAAAGAGACTCCAATGAAAAATCCGCCACAACTGACCAAAAAGAGTGATATAAAACCCCACAGGAATTGTATGCCTTCGACACTAGTCTGGCCTAACATTGAACACAATATCCGGTGAACAACAATCACCACAGCATCTGATGGACAAAAACCAATTAAACACCAATTGATACTATTTTTAGTTTCATTTAACACATGTTTCGTTACCATTCNACAGGAATTGTATGCCTTCGACACTAGTCTGGCCTAACATTGAACACAATATCCGGTGAACAACAATCACCACAGCATCTGATGGACAAAAACCAATTAAACACCAATTGATACTATTTTTAGTTTCATTTAACACATGTTTCGTTACCATTCAGTAGAGATTCTCCAAACACTATAAAGTATAGCGATTTGTTAACAGACAGGTCTTGAAATATGGCCAAAACCTGGTCATTATTTTAGTCAATTGTAATATAATATTTTATGTGAGTTATAAATAATAAATTATTTGACAAAAACAATATCGAAAATGGTAAAATAAATAAACATAATAATTACAGAGACGGGATCGACGGCACTAATAGCTGTGCCAAAAACCATGAGCTCCAAGAAAGAGATGTCGGGCGGAAAGGCCAACCATTTTAGTGGCAGTAATTTAATCAAATACAGTGACGGACCTATCAGTGCAATGTTGATAAAAGTGCCCTTTAATTCAAAATGTGGTTAGTTTTTATTAAAAAAACAGGAATTGTATGCCTTCGACACTAGTCTGGCCTAACATTGAACACAATATCCGGTGAACAACAATCACCACAGCATCTGATGGACAAAAACCAATTAAACACCAATTGATACTATTTTTAGTTTCGTTTCATTTAACACATGTTTCGTTACCATTGAGTAGAGATTCTCCAAATACTATAAAGTATAACGATTTGTTAACAGACAGGTCTTGAAATATGGCCAAAACCTGGTCATTATTTTAGTCAATTGTAATATAATATTTTATGTTAGTTATAAATAATAAATAATTTGACAAAAACAATATCGAAAATGGTGAAATAAATAAACATAATAATTACAGAGACGGGATCGACGGCACTAATAGCTGTGCCAAAGACCATGAGCTCCAAGAATGAGATGTCGGGCGGAAAGGCCAACCATTTTAGTGGCAGTAATTTAATCAAATACAGTGACGGACCTATCAGTGCAATGTTGATAAAAGTGCCCTTTAATTCAAAATGTGGTTAGTTTTTATTAAAAACGAGAAAGTGGCAAAAATAGATCAAGTTTAAATATCTATTACAATAACTGCAAAAACCAATATCGAGCCCAGGTTTGTGAGGAAAGCGATGTCATGCAAAGAATAGGCCGATTCCAGGATTATTCTATTGTAAACACAGACACAACTCTGTTATTCAAACATTTTCTAAGACAACATATTATATTATTTACTGCAGAATCGGGTTTATGTCTAAAACAATGAAATATAATATAATATATGATTCTTACGGCGGAAGCAAAACAAAGAAGAAGAGGTCGACAGTAAATTGTGGCACTTCTTTGGACGCTTGCAATGAACTTTGATTTGAAACATAAAAATCATAAATAAATTCTATTACAATTTGTGTTACTTTTTTAATTATAAATATTACGAGGGCAATTCAATTAAGTTATATTGTTCATACAAATAAATTACAAGAAATATAGTTTATGTCTTATGACTAGGGCTAGGATTTAGAAAGAATAACTCAGGATTTCTAAGAATTCATATCATCGATGTAACTCAATTTAGTTGACCACAATTATTGTGCAAATTTATACTAGTAATTTTTTAATAAATACAATAAATATGTAATTTTATGATAAAATTAAATGATAATTAAAAACATTGATCTACTGTAGTTCAGTATAATGTTCAGTTTCTATGTTTCCAAAATCCTAACCCTAGTTATGATTGTTATATATAAACTCACTGTACGATTGCCCCAATGGTGAGTCCCAACAGTATAAGAATGCTTATGAGTTACAAATGAATACAAAGATATGATTATATGACGTTAAATGAGAGAAGAGATTAGATTTAGTCAACTCATACCACGACTCGGGGATAATATTGTTCAAAAAATTGCTGAAATGATAGCCAATCTTAGCGATCGCTGCCATCAATAGGAATAGACAGAAGAGCCACACATTTTTATTCTTATCCCAATCCCAACCAATTAAGTGAATTCCTCCATGACTTGAGTTTTGGTGTGGTTTTTGAGTAGACTTATCGTCACCCGAAACATACAATTTGAATGTTTCAAATGTGTTGTCATTTTGGTTGGCTTTAAAACACAACAGATTATAATAGTTAATATATTGTTATTGTTTTTGTAAATTTATTAAAAGTTATAATATGGTAATTTAGAGCTGACTTAAATCCTTTGGTTGTGAAATAATTTATTTGAATATATTTTGAATAAATGTTTATAAAACTATTATTAAAGATAATGTAAATTTGCATTAAAATTCAATTTAATTCAAACCTCTGTTAAAAAGAATTTAGAAATTCAAGCGTTTTATTAATGGAAGAATTTAGAAGAAAATTGATTTAAATATTTATTGAATAAAAAACAATTTTAACCTAAAAAAGAAATTTCTGAGTTAAGAGTAAATTGATTTCTTTCATAATGTTTTATATAAGCAGTAAATATAGTTTTGTAAAACTTCTAATAACTATAATAACTTATATTTATGAATTAAATGATATATAATTAATATTTGCTAATATTATATAACATAATGTTTTTGTGAAAACAATATCACAATCGATATAAAGAATTGAGAAATATATATAATAATAAAAAACAATTCTATACTTTTTCTGTTGTTTATGACATTAAAACGTTATTAATTTTAATAATATAAAGATATAAGTTTACAAAAATCAATAATAATAATAAAATAAAAATTTAGTTCATTAATAAAGCACTTTATATTTAAAACATTAAAATTCTTGAAAGAAACAAAAAACTGAATAGATTTTAAATTAAAACTAAATCTACTGAAATTTCTTTATATAATTAGGATTAACAACATTTGAGGTTAAATCTCGATATTTGAATTAAAATTTCTTTTTTAATATAAACAAACTTTTAAAACAACTCTTTTGAGATTAAAGTAAATGATATGTTTAGCAAATGATTGAATGGCTTCAGGAATAGTATATGTATATAATATGTGATGAATTGATGACAAGTTTTAACTGGAATTTTATATATTAATAAAATGAGAATTTTGTAAAATTTTGCGAATATTTTGGACCTCAATATTAAAAATATTTCATTTCGTATAATAGAAAAATACAAGGGTTTGAGAAAAACATATGCAAAGGAATGTTAAAAATATGGTATTTTAAAAGCTCTGAAGAGAAAGAGAGAGAGAGAGAGAGAGAGAGAGAGAGATTGTTCTCTAATGTATAATCTTTTTTGAAGAAATTCGCCATTACGAATGAAAAGTAATAAAAGTACTTTTAAAAAGATTTTTGTATTAAAATGTTTGTTTAAAATATTATTTAATATTCAGTTAAAAACACATTTTACAAATATTTCTGTTTGATTCCCTTTTTATATTATATAAAGAATATTCTTTGTATATACAAACTGGACTTTAACTATCATTTAAAATAGTTTAGTTTTAATATACTATTCAATTTTTACTTCCTTACTTTTAGTATATGATATAAAATAATAATTTTATTAAATATTTGCTGTTTTATTTGGCAATTAAATGATTCAAATTTTTAATTCTTTTTATAGAGTAATACTTTACAAGTTTTTATAGAAATATTGACTGATTTATAAATTGACTGAAATAACTGCTTATAAGTACAAATGATAACCAAAAATTGAATCTAATATATTGCCAAAAAAGACAACAATTTTGTATATATTTTATTTTCTTCAAATTTACAAAAAGTATACATTATTTTGAGAGAGAAAACGCGAATCAATAAAAACCTATTCATAAATATTATAAATGCTTTCGACATTAAAATGAAAGTATAGCCGACTTATT